AACATAACGGAGAGTATCAACAGTTGGTGCTCTTAGCCTATTCCATTCTATGTTTTCTTCTACTATTCGCCTCGCCTGTGACGGATACCTGCAAAATTAGTTCATTCATAGTCAGGCTAAAGGACTAAAAGAAAAACCAAATCTTGAATTCATCTATCTTCCTCATTCAAGGGTAAAATTTTTACCTTGCTCTGAAGGTATTTTTGTTACAATCATAGCTAACTTCAGCATCATAACAAGATAGCATAAAACCAACATGGCCATTCTGCACCTACAAGAGAAAAAGCATCATCTATCAGCACTTAGTTCAAGAGATACTAAAAGAATCAAGTTTTATATAAATAAAAGAATTTTTTTTGTAAAAACTACAGGTAACAACCCATGATTTGTGTAATTAGTAACCTGAAAAATAATGCAGGTAACCTAGTACAACATACAACAACAACGATCCAGTACAATCCCACAAGTGAGGTCTGGGGAGGTTAGTGTGTACGCAAACCTTACCCCTGGAGTAGAGAGGCTGTTTCCGAAAGACCCTCGGCTCAAGAAGACAGAAAAGACGAGAAGAGAAGGGAAGGGACAATATAGCCTAGTACAACATGATATTGGTAAATGTTCTTATGTAATCAGTGTATAAAAGTTAAACTCTTCTGCAATTACCTCGCGGTTAAAAACCTGAGCTGAGAACCAAAACTTGCCAGACTCAAGGGAGAGATACCAATCCATAATTGCTGAAGAACTTCTAACCTTGCTGTTATCTTCATTTCCTTTTGATCTATTCCATAAAAGTTTCCTAATTTCTGAAAATTTCCCAAGTAAATCTCTCTTTTTTCTTGAATTTTCCAAGAGGGAATCATTATTTCTTGAAGCAATGTAGCATTGCCATTCTCTATAAGCAACAGATCCTATCAATGCACCCCATTTTTCCTTCATATGTTTCTCCCACAAATGATCACTTTTGCATTTTTCTCTCAAATAACTGCAAACTGCAGCCATACTACAAAGACCATTTGGTGGAAGTCTCTCAAAGATACATTCCAAAGTCAAATCAGGCAAATCCAATAAAGAAATCTCCTCTTCCTTCTCCACAACATTCTCTAGTTTTGACTCAACAGTCTTTTTCATTAGAGGCAAATTCAAGTAACTAATAGCATTCCTATCTTTTCTGAACCATGAAGCCAAAAACTTCAAAAAATCTTCACAGAACCAGATATTTGAGAAATCTCCCATTGTACTCTTCCAAGACTTAGAAAATAGTAGTATGAAAGAAAAACAAGAAACCAAGAAAAATAACATTGCATTAAATTTTTTTTTTTTTTTTTTTTTTTGCTGATCCAAGATAATTCAAGAACTGCTGCAATGCTAGATAAACACACACTAGTTTTATACCACTATATAGTAAAAAGGGTAAATATATTATGCAAATTTTGGCGGAGTTTTCAAATGGGGTTACGGCCAAAAGTAGAATTAAAGAAAGTGGGCATAGGTAGATACACAGCAGACAAGCTTTAATTATATTGACTCACAAAACCACACAATTCATTGAAGGAAAAACCAACATTAAAGAGATTGCTTCTTAACTGTTTTGGTATCCAGCTACAGTGAATTGCCCACCAGAGATATGAGGAAACAAAAATTTGTACTATGACATTTCTTGTAGGGTCAAAATGTAAGCCAAGATTTGTATATTTTGGTTATTAAACAAGAATAAAATTGTAGCAAGAAACTCCCCTCAAAGACTCAAATTTTATCAACTTTGGTAATACCAATCTTGATGGTTCCTCAAGTGACAATGAAAGACAAACAACAAAACCATTTTCTATCTATGTCATATATAACAAGATCATTTGTTCACAAAACCAAGAAAAGTAAAAGGATAAAAAAATCTTTAAAAATTTGGAAGATAGTTGAAGTTGAGGATGAATACAAAGTGGATCATCAGTTTCATCCAAGATTTTGTCAGGACTAAGAAAATGATTCTCTATTTAAATTAATGTCCTAATATAACTTGTTGACAGGGTCTATAGGTAAATGTGGGGAAGACTTTAGACTTAGGTAGCAGAGATTAAAAAGGTAGTTGTCACAGTTCACCTAGTCATTACTCATGTAGTTATAGACCTCATAGAAATGTAGCTGAAAGTTGCCTAACTTCTACTCAACTACACAAGAACAACTGTAAGGACCACAGACACACCATGTGGAATTAAAATAATGTGGCAGATAGAGTCGCAAACGGGCGGGGCGGGTCGAATATGGTTCGGGTTGGAAACAGGTAATGAAAAACGGATAAATTATCTGATTCGACCCATATTTAATGCGGATAAAAAACAGTTTAACCGGCGGATAATATGGGTAACCATATTATCCATGACTTCTTGCATATGATCACTTTTGGGAAAATACTTAGCCTCCCTAACTTGAGGAACCACCAATTTGAGGCTTTACAAATTTAAAAGTTAGACCCATTGGTTATCCATTGGTTACTCATTGGTTATCCATTTTCTAAATGGATAATATGGTTCTTATCCATATTTGACCCGTTTTCAAAAAGTTCATTATCCAATCCATTTTTTCATGGATAATATGGGTGGTTAACTGTTTTCTTTTAACCATTTTGCCACCCCTAGTGGCAGATAATCTCACCCTCAAAAATATGAAGAAAAAAAATAATATTAATCGTTTTAGCAAATTAAAATATTTGACATTTAAAAAACAAGAAGACATTTATTACTTTTTTCTAAGTCTTTCCTTACTGTCTCAGTTGATAGAGTGTTAATTAAGATATGATGTTTTTACAATGAGAAAAAGGATTACAGAGATACTTTTATAATTACTAAGAGTTAAGACTATTAAATCTTTTTTGCAAAAATTTTAAAATGGCATAGAATATATGAGTTAGTTAATGTTTAAAGACTTCATAACATTGGTAGACAAGTTTTTATATGGTTCACTAGTTAAGCAACTTTGTAGCTTTCTCATATTTTCCTTCTCTTTATACTTTTCTCGACTTTAATGCCCTCATAAGAAGGTTGTGATTATTGTCATAAAATCTGAACGAAAACGACTAGTTAATTCGACTAGATCTGGAATAACTAATATTTTATATGGATTATGTTATATATATTGCATGTTATTAATCTCTTTATTTTCGAGCTACCACATCAGTTTAATAGAGAATTACCTATTATTGCAGGTCAACTTAATAAAATAGTGTAGAAATTCTTTACTATGTTTGTGTACAAAACATATACTCTACTAAACATTGTTTGAAATTTATCTTCCTATTCATTGTTTTAATATTCTGCAGAAAAATTGAAACAAAAGATAGACTTGACTGAATTTACAATATAAAGATATTGAGCCGTATTTTTGGTGAGTATCACTTCTTTATGTAATTGATTATTTGTCCTCGAGGTATCACTGCGTCAATAACACGGTAGACCAAATAAACATTTATAGTACTAAATCTTTAATATACAACATGACAAACATGAGGTTTATAATACTTTTGTGGAGATGTTTGTTAACTATAATATAATCCCAACGTGATTATATGCTAATAATGTCCAATATACATTATGAGCAATTTTGTTTGAGCTAAATGAAAATTTTGAGTTTTTTTTTAACTACTCTTCTGTCGAAACATATATAGAAATCATATTTGAGCAATCAAAATTTAAAAGCGATTTTCGCTACATTATTATATTTAAGGTCCAATTTGAACTTTGTACATGATTCAAAAATTTGTTACACATAATTTGTGACGTACACAAAGGATGATGGGCTAATGAGGAGAGGCCAAAGAAAAAGGACTTTGATAGATTTTTAGGTCGGTAAGCTTCCGGAAATGACATATCACATTTTAACAAAGGGAATCTTACGTAAATGTCTCAAATGAGTCCTAACTTACCATCTTTTAGCCATTAATTATAGATTTATCAAAAATATTCAAGTACATACAAAAATTGAAAACCCAAATAAATAAGGATTATTTCCCTCCAAGAATCACACGCAAAGATCTCCTTCCATATTTTTAATCGTGATCAGCAACAATAGATGCAAAACGAAAAGAAAGTTTCATGGATGAGGTAGCAAACAAGATGATATATATATATATATATATATATATATATATATATATATATATATATATATATATATATATATATTCTAAAATCTAAGCAAAAAGGAATATTTTTCAATGGGTATGGTTGAAATTCATCGAAAACATATAGATGAGTCAATATACAAAATTTGAGGAAGATTGGAGGTGATTTGGACTGATTTGGTATAAAAATTCGTAGTTAAAATCGAGTTCAAAAAATTCTTCTACGACACATGTATCTGTAACGACCCGACCGGTCGTTTTGAGCTCTAGCGCATCGTTCAGGTATTATGACTTGTACGTATGGTCGGAATTGAAATTCGAAAAGTTTGGAGTTGAATTGGAAAGAAAATTCCCATTTCGTAAGCTTTAAGTTGGAAGAATTGACTAAGGTTGGATTTTTGAGTAAACGACCTTGGAATCGGGATTTGAAGGTTCCAGCAGGTTTGTATGATGATTCCGGACTTGCCCGTAAGTTGGGATCGAGTTTTGGATGACCCGGGAGCGTTTCGGCGCATATTGTGGAAGTTAGCATTTTTTGGAGAACTTCATAAATTTGGGTTGAAGTGCATTTCAATGTTATCGACGTCCGTTTGGGATTTCGAGTCAGGGAATAGCTCCCTATGGTGATTCTGGTTTTGGGAGCACGTCCGGAAGTGGATTCGGAAGTCCGAAAGTTATTATGGGTTATTTGGCGAAAGTTAGAAATTTGAAGGTTTTTGAGAAGTTTGATCGGGGGTGGACTTTTTGATATCGCGGTCAAATTCCGATTCCGAAAGTTGAAGAAGGTCCGTAATGTTGAATATAACTTGTGTGCAAAATTTGAGGTAAATCGGACGTGATTTGATAGGTTTCGGCATCGAATGTAGATGTTTGAAGTTCTAAAGTTCATTAAGTTTGAATTGGGGTGTGATTCGTGATTTTAGCGTTGTTTGATGTGATTCGAGTCTCGAGCAGGTCCGTATTATGTTATGGGATTGGTTTGTGTGATTGGACGGGGTCCCGGGGAGCCCCAGATGCGTTTCGGAGTGGTTTCGGATCAATTGGAGCTATTTTGGAATAGTTGTTGCTGGTGTCTGGTTTCCTTCTTCACGAACGCGAAAGATGTCCCGCATTCGCGAAGAGGAAATTTTGGGCCTGCTGAGTTTGGCCTTCGCGAACGCGAGGCAATGGACGCGAACGCGAGGCAAGGGCTAGTCAAGTTTACGAGAACGCGACACAGTGCTCGCGAATGCAAAGAAGGAAGAGAGCTGGGCCAGGAAGTGCTTAGCCTTCGCGAACGCGACTGTGGGGCCGCGAACGCGAAGAGGAATTTATAGAGGCGTGCAAGTTTGTCCTTCGCGAACGCGAGGGGATTTCCGCGTTCGCGGAGGAGGGTCTCCTGGGCGGTGAAGTTTTATAAAAGGGGATTTTGCTCATTTCTCCCATTTTTTCATTGGTTGGACGATTTATGGAGCTCTTGGAAGGGCGATATTCGCCATCCATGTCAAGGTAAGTGATTTCCACCTATTGCAAGTTAAATACTTGGATTATATATGGATTTAGACATGAAAATTTGTAGAAATTTTGAGATTTGAAGAAAAACCTAGAAATTGGTATTTTTGGATTTTGACCGCGAAGTTAGACATGGAATTTAGAATAAATTATATATTTGAGTTCGTGATTCTATGGGTAAAGTTTATCTTTAAAAATTTTCATAACCCGCGCACGTGGGCTCGAGGGTGATTTTATCGACTTCTCGAACGGAGTTGGAAATTGTTGTAAATGAGATTTTAAGGAGTATTAGAGTATATATTATGGATTTGCTCATTTATTGACTAGTTTTGAAGCGTTGGGCATCGATTTGAGTTGCTTGAATGACTTGGGAGCCGGTTATGGAACTTCGGAGCGAGGTAAGTCTCCTTTCTAACCTTGTAAGAGTGAATTAACCCCATAGGTGAACTAAATTAATACATGCTTCTATTTGTGAGGGCTACGTACGGACTCTCGTAGTAATTATGCCTATGTCCGGTAGTTCTAGGCTTACACCATGATTTGTTGATACCGTTATTTGATCCTGTTATTTCCTTGCCTTGGAGGAATTTAGGTCAGTGTGCTTATTAAATGCCTTGAAAAAAGTTGAAATTGAGGATTTCGGGACTTGAAAGTTTCATTTGGATTTCATATGTTGAAAATAATTAAAGAATATTATTAAAATAATTATTTGAGAAATTCTATGTGTAACCGCATCGCAATTATATTCCGCGAGCGGGGTAAATTTCTACTACTCTTGTGGGATTGGGTCGTTCGCCTCGGCAGGATTATGTATTTCACTTTTATGGGATCGGTCTGTTCGCCTCGGCAGGATCTATGTACCACACTCTCATGGGAGCGGGTCGTTCGCCTCGGCAGGTTAATAGATGCATCTATGGTTCGTGTCGTTCGACTCTCGGCACTGCGCAATTTAATTTTTATTTTGGATCGGGTCGTACGCCACGACATTTCCTATATCATATCCTCATGGAATCGTGCGTAATATTTGGCAAGTAGCCGGTGTATCCGTGAGTTTTTCGGATTTGAATTTATGATAATCTACTTGATGAGGTCCACTAAACCCTTATGAGTGCTCCGGTTAAGGAGGGAATTTCAAATGAGAAGCTTGAGTTCATTATAAAGAGGGTAATCTGTATCACGTATCTTTATGCTTATTTCATTCATTTATTTACTCTGTCCCATATTTATTTACCTCTTTACCGTACCTAATATTATTAGACCACTAGTAAGTGTCGGAGTCGAACTCTCGTCACTACTTCTTCGAGGTTAGACTGGATACTTACTGGGTATGCGTTGTTTTCGTACTCATACTACACTTGCTTTATATTTTGTTGTACGGGCACATCTATGTTCAGTGGCCTTGTGGACGCAGCAGCGTGGTTGGTGGGGGGACTTAGGTGAGCTGTATTCCATGTTACGATCCGCAA